GTTCCGTTTAGCGATGTTTTCGCATAGCGACGATTAATCCGGAACGGTTTAACGTCGCTATGCAAGGCACCACTGTATTGTTTTATAAGTGTATTCTATTTTTTTAAAAAATAAACTAGAAGAAATGCCAGTGATTATGCAATAAAGGGAAGTAACTGCAAAGTAATTTTAGAATTTAATTTCCACTCATCTGAACGTTAGGGCCCTCTGTTACTGAAAGACCCAGGCCATGAACACTTTGTTCAGATGATGAAAGGTTAGATATGTGTTCGTATGGTTAGCCAAATCGCTGAGTGCATTGTTTCCATCTTACATCTGGTACCTCTCGTATTTGTGAGTATATAATCCATCAGGCTGCCTTTGTGCTGTCCTGAAAGTCTACAGATAGTTGAAGTACAGCCTTGTTTCTAAAATTAAACAACAATTGTCATTGTCATGATGTGTATTTTTATATTTGAAAGGTGATGGAAATAATTGGAAAGAAAAGTGTGATTCCTCCCTGCTCTGGGACATTTGTATGTCATCAAGTGGATAGGTTAGATCTTTGGGTGTATTGTAAATATTTTCAGGGAAGAAATAATCCTGCATTTAGATAAAGGCAAGTGAAGTCTATAGTCACTCAGAAGGCCATGTAAATTTGAACCTTTCATATTCTTGGGTTTCAAAGGGAGTGCTGAGTTTTGTAGCCAACCAAGCAATCTTTGTTAGCTGTCTTGGCTCAACATATGGACTGACATACATTTTTTTCAGCATTCTCTCCCCCCGCCCCATCAAAATATCTTTTAATCATATGATTGCGGCTTTTAAAAAAGCTATTTTGGGGGATATCAAATATTTTAGAAATAAAACCAAAGCAAACTTCTTATTTCAAATAAAAAAATCATCTTTGTAGCTTTCAGAGTCATGGAGAAAGAAAGGAAACCATGACCAGTTATAAAGAGGAAATTTGCATATACAGTGGTGCCTTGCTTAACGATGTTAATTCGTTCCAGCGAAATCGCTGTAGAGTGGAAACATTGTAAAGCAAAAATTAAAAACTCATTGAAATGCATTAAAACCCGGTTAATGCATTCCAGTGGGTTAAAAACTCACCGTCCAACAAAGATCCTCCATACAGCGGCCATTTTCGGTGCCTGACTAGCGAAGAATCTGTCCTAGAAAATAGTGGGGGGCCTTTTTCTTCAGCCGGCAGCCATTTTGGAACCCGACGATCAGCTGTTCACTGATCGTCGTAATGCGAAAAATCGGTTCCCAAAGCAGGGAACCGATCATCGCATAGCGGATTTTGCCCATAGGAAGCATCGTTTTGCGATTGCTTTTGCAATCACAAAAAGGCATCGTTAAGCGGATTCATCATTATACGGGGCAATCGTAAAGCAAGGCACGACTGTACTATCTCTTCATATAAAATAGGTAACTAATTTTTTTAAAAAACAGAACCTTTATGAGAAAAGTAAGGCCTGTAAGCATCTGTCCACATAACATGGTTCTGCACAATAAAATGGGCACGTGTTTCTCCTTTTTTCCTATCCAAACCCAAGTTTCAATTTAAGTGAATGCTTGCTAGGAATCAGCCAATGGCTTTTCTCACTTCCAGAAAAGCAGACCCTGAAGCTTGTATAAAGCACCTTTCCTGCTAAGTAATCATAATCACTCTCTCACACAAACATACATTTGAAATCCTCAAGACCTCAGATTTTAAATATCTGAAAGATGTAATGAAATGCTGGTGTTAATCTCTGCACGTGTCAAGAGGCCAAAACTTCCCATAGTATCTCATTCCTTACCAAAACTGGCATAGCACACATTTTCATCTGGAAATGTATGTTTCTCATTCTCTGATATCCAGGGGTTTTTCTCCTCTTTCCCACAGTGAGTATAATAATGCACATGCTTAGTTGGCGGTAACTCTCTCTGACAACAAAGCATATTAAACTTTTCTACATAACGTTGGCTATTACAGCCACAGGAAAGGATACACAAATGGTAATACAGAGGTAGGAGCCTCTTGCAGTTTAAATGGAAACAGAAGGAAAATGCTGTCATTTGCTGTTTACAAAATTAGTCACAAAATACAAGCAATGCCCATTTGTAAAACAATGTTTGTGAAACTGAGCTGAAGCCTGCCGGTAAGAAATGATTTTGCATGTGAGCTCTGAGGGTTTGGATTAGATGATCCTTAGGTTCCTTCCATTTCTGTGGTTCTGTGATGCTGTGAGAACCCAGATTACCAATTCAGTTCAAGTCTAGACCAAGAGATATATAGGGTCCAGATCAAGACAGGTAACAGTAGCTCTTCATTCTGCCTTGCAAGACCTCACAGTTCTCAGAGTCACAGTTTAATAAGGATGCTGATAAACTGAAACATGTCCAGTGGAAAGTGACCAAGATGGAAAATAAGACCTGTGAGGAACAGTTGAAGGAGCTGGACCACCTTAGCCTGAGGATTTAGAGATGATGTTGACAGCCATTTTCAGCTATCAGAAGGGATGTCACTTTTATGTGGCTGCAGATAGTGGACTCAAACCAATGATTTCTAATTTTAAGAAAATAGATTCTGACTAACCATGAGGAAGAACTGAAATAAGAGCTGAAAACTGTCTGTTGGAAAGTGGAGGATGACTACATTCTGCTTTTAAATAGAGGTTGGATGAGACTTGACAAAGATATTTTGCTGTGAGTTCCTGTACTGCCAAAAGTTTAGATTAGATGACCGGTGGGTTCCTTCCATTTCTGATTCTGTGGGAACTGAACGCTGACTCAAGGCTTGTAATGAACACGTATACTGATTTTCCCTGTTTAAAAGGGACACTAGATATGCTTAAAAGCCTGCTGCAGATGACAGACCTAGGACAGTTCTAATTGCAAACCTGATTTCAGATATCCAACACTTCATATTATAAAGCTTGGTCAGTCAGTCTCTTTAGGTTGTAATTTCTAGTTTGTAAAGGAATGTATATCCTAGGGGTATACATCTTTTTGTTATGATTAAGTTACTGCTCACAAAATAGTTTCTCCAGGTGGCTCTCTCGAGCGGAATGTGTAAAAACACTAGCCACATTCTCATGTAACATTGCAAGTCAAGATTTAGCATTATCTTCACAGACCTTTAGCACTATGTGCACATGGCTTGGCATTGGCCTTAGAGAGCTCATGCTCATAGCCCATAAATCCTAGCTTAACATAACATTTGAACAGTGCCGCTATGTGAGCATGAATTATCCATGGACCTTTTCCAAGGGTGAATCTGTGAATGGAATCTTTGGCTATGGCTTCGGCAGAGTGCGTTTTTGTTTATGGAGTCTTGTCGAAACGTGATTTTCTGAATACCAGATGCTACACAATGTTTGCCTCTGAAGAGATGGCACACAGTTTCTGACTTGCTTCTTTATTTTCCTTGCCTACTTAAATCCAAATGACAGCCTGCAACAGAAGGTAGAAAAATGTCTGGAAGATGGTGTCCGCCTTCCTATGTTGGACACAAAACAACTTCAGAGTGAAAATGAGTGCCTCAAAGAGCAACATGACAAAGCCAGCAAGGTCAGTGAAATAAATTTGTTGGATGACCCATCTGTGTATCAGACATCGTTTCAGCACTATGCCAGATGGCTATTCTTATACCTGTTGCTGTAGTTGTTTCCATATGTGTTGCCAGCCGCCACCAGTGAAGCACTGCAGAGCAGTCAAGCAAGGAGAAAAACATCCAAAATAGATTGCTAGCAGTGGGTATTGGAGCCACTACTAGATAACCAGGCACTTGCTGAATCATTTCTTTCCCACTGTGAGTGCTGTCAGTACACAGTCTCTTAAATGGCATTGACCCCTGCCTTTGTTGTTGATTGCCAAAGTCTTCTGAACATCCTTGCATTTTCCCAAGCCTCTATTGCCCTTCTGCACCACTAGCAGTATGTGCTATGAATTTTCTCAACTGCCTCTGCGTATTGCTAATTCCATTTCTTATCCTATAACAACATATTTATTTTTCTAAAGCAGTTAATGTCCTTCACATGCATTATAAAGTCCCCCACCAGAAAAAGGATAGATAGAAAGAAAGCTATCACATTCTTAGCAGATTCATGAGAACATTTTGTTGTTATTTTCTTTTCCAAACAGGTCATAGACAATCAACAGAATCAGATTGCACAGATAACTTCAGAAATTCAGGTAAGAAACTGTAGTTCCTAAAGATTTACTTATATCCCTTGCTATTCATGAATATGGATGTCTTCTTTAAAAGAAGTGCCATATGTTGCTTTATGAGCTGGCAATACTTTATATTTCTGATATTGAACTGTGCCTCTTTTTATTGTTTTCTGTGCATAATGTATAATCCCCTTTGGAGTTAGCTTAAGTCTACCAATAGAGGGAAGAGCAGCCTATCAGGAGTGAAAACTGAGGTCTTAGCACTGTGAGACACCTAGCTTTATCATTGCCAGCAATTCCATAGTGTAGCCTTCATGGGTATAAGAAGGGCAGAAGGAACATTCATTTTTTAATTTTTTTATTTAAAAAATTTAAATTTCCAAAACAAATACAAAAATATAGAATACTTACTAATACAATCTAGACCACAGTGCTCCCCCAATAGCCACAGGACCCTTTGGAACAGTACTTTTAATACAAACCTCCTTTCCAAAATTGTATTGATTGTTGTTTAGAGGCTTTCCCCTTTCCTTTCACTAATACAAATTCAACAAATCTACCCCAAGTAGCATAAAAATATTTGAACTTATTTCCCCTCTTTTCATTTTAAGTTCAGTAGTCAATTTATCATTTAATGCAATGTCCCATACTTCATTATACCAATCTTCTAATTTAATATCATTTTTATCTTTCCAGAATGTAGCTATTAATATTCTAGCACTTGTCATAAAATTGGAAATCAATTCCTTTGAGCAATAATCAAGTTCTATCTTATAAAAAATTGACAACAAAGCGATTTTAGAATTGAATTCAATACCTTTTCCATATATATCACATATTTTCTTAAAAATCAGTTTCCAAATTTCTGAATCCATTTACACTCCCACCACATATGATATACATGCCAATTTCTTAGAATAGTCTGAATTTTTTATATTCAAATTCACCGGAGTCATATACCACCTTAAACTCCAGGAGTACCTGGCTGAAATGGGTAAATAATAATGGTGTGCATTCAGGTAAATTCTGACTTACAGTGGCCCTTTGCAAGGCTTGCTAGGTAGATAGTACACTGAAGTGATTAGCATTCCCTTCTTCTGGAGTCATCCTGGGACTGTGCAGCTTAACCAAGGCCACATAGGCTGACTCTTCTGGAATGCACAGTAGGGAATTGAACTACCAACCTCTGGCTCCGCAGCCACATACCTCAGTCACTGAGCTATCCAGCCAGCTATCTAGATCCATTTCAGTGTGGCTTCAGGTCTGGCCTGCTTTCATAGTCTACTTCATATTAGGCATAAACCTATTAGTCAGTGATAGTTCACTGTCAGATGTCTTCTAACTCATACACCTATGAACTCTTACGAAGTCTAATATTGTCCAGATCTGTAGTCTGCCTTGCACTCTTGAATCATATTGGTTAATATCAGTGTTCCTCAGTTATGCTCATCAAGGTGAACGAGGCAGTACATTATGACAAATAACAGCTCATCCTTCCAGCTTGTAAATTATAGGCCATGGGCAGTGATCATCCCAGCAGCTCAGCAATCCTTCCTCTGCTTGAGGTTAAGCCTTAGGTATCTTGGTAGCTGTGCAGGCAAGCCCCCCAAGTGCTTTGGCCTTGCAGGGCCTAAGTGCAAGGAGCCCATCTTCTTTGGTCTGAGGGCATGCTGTACAATGCTGAGCCTCACCTGAGCTTTCCTATTCCCAGCTTCCTTTCTCAGCAGTATAGCATTGAGTCTTTTCTGCTGCTGTTTGAATAAGGAGGTCTAAGCCTTGCCACTGAATTAGTTAGATAGAAGAACTTGTTTCTGTCTGTGATGCTCACGCCTCCCCCCCAAAGGGCTGTTGGGCATTCGGCCAGAGTTCGACCAACACTTATCTACCACCTTTGCGCTGGATCGAGTCCTTAGACCTCAGCAGTGCGTAGCTTAAGCCCCGTGAACAAGTCTGACCTAAAAAGGTCAGACTTTGCACTTACTCAGTACTTTGCAAGTACAGACACATGGGCTTTGTGATTCCTCAGAACTCACAACAGCTCAGTTAGGGAGGACTCTTGAATGATAGCTAGTTTGTGGCCCTCTCCACCTCCTGGATTTAGTCAGACCCTGTTGTTCAAGAGACCAGTCCTCAGTAAGGATTTTTAATATTAATTTTTATTAGAAAAATATTCAGTAGAAATCTGTTTATATTGCAAAAGCATTAGCATTCAAGAACATATTCAAAGATCATTGCAGTTAAATAAGATAACTATTTCTATTTAAAATAATAAACTCTAAAAGCTAATCTAGGGTAGGCTATAATAGGCTATGGTGGGCTAGCCCCCATCTCCTCCATCTCCCTTACTTACATCCTCTCTCCTTCATGGAATCGAACAACACAAAAAGCATCATTAGTCTACATCCATCATCAGTAAGCTATGAGCTGTCAGCTATGAGCTGTAAGCTACATTCACATAACCCACTGGCCACTTTCTACTTTCTCAAACTCCTCCCTTCTTCATGGCCTTTCTGGCTGTTAACCAATTAACCTTTAGGGGTTGTACCACCTTTCTCCTTCCTTCATTCCCATGAGAGTGCAGGTGTTGTTTATGTCTTCTGTAACAAGCTTGGAATGTTGAGTCTGCCACGGGCCCCTTGATTTGGCCTTCATGTTATCAACATGCTGGCTGTAACGTTCTTCAGGAAAACACTCTCATGGCGCTTAGAAAAACACATTCCAAAGTCCCCGAAATCATCTTCACACGGAACCTATTTGACTCCATTTTACATATCTCTGACTACATATCCCATGATCATGTCATGCTTTGGACTACACATCCCATGATCATGACACACTTTGGACTGCATACCCCATGATCATGACACCGTCAAATCAGTACGGAACATAGTGACACAATATCTGGCTTGGGCACAAGGGCCTGAACTCTAGGAATTGGACAGCTTACAGGCTACAGGCAGGAACAAATAAATGTACAATGCAGATGCAGTGTTGGCAGGGTTGGAGCAGCTGGCTTGTTTGTATAACTTGTTTTAAGAAGTTGTCCACATTTTACCCTCTAGTCTATGCAAGAGAAACTTTTGCAAGAAAAACTGACAATTCAGAAGCTGAAAAATGAACTTGAAGAAAAGGATAAGAGTATACAGAAGACTCTGCTTGGAGTAAGTTTTTGCAATCACATGCTGCAGACCGTATGTATACCATGCTGAAAGTGGGGAGATCCCGCACACATTCAGATATGCCAATTGCTTTGAGCAGGAGGGAAGGTGCAACCTGTGGTGGATCCAGAGGCAGGGAATTAACTTTGCCCCCCCCCCCAAGATCCTGTGGAGTTGAAAACTTCTGCTTTGAAGAATTGTGCAGTTAGTTTCACATGCTTCTTTGACTCTCGGCTGTGGACGTGGCCGAAAAATGAAATAAATATCTA